AAGCGGAAGGCGAAGAGGCAGTTGTTAAAACCAAACTGCAGCTGTCCCCTTTTTATATAAAGGCAGACAGTATGAAATTGCCACTCCCCACTGCCTTTAACGGACACTTGCAAGGGAATGCCCACCGTATCTCTAGTTATCTCCGGAGACAGATGTTTTTTGCTGCAATCAGATAATGCTCTTTTAAATCTCTCTCTTTGGGGGCCTCTTATGTTGGGGAAAGTGACCAGAGCCCACTCCCCACACCCCTATTCAGACTGCTGATCTGATTTGTATCTCCTGTTTCTGGAAACTTCCCTGGCTTTCTGTGGTTGCGACAGTTTTAAGGAGATAAGGAGATAAATTTTGGGTGGCCTCAGATGGAGTGATAGGGGCGGATCTTGAGAGTGTTATCTGGGAGGAGTTTGACCCTGTGGCTCCCGAGGACGTGGACAGGATTTTGGGGAGACTTTACGCTACCACATGTTTATTGGACCCGTGTCCCTCCTGGCTGGTACTGGCCTCCCGGGAGGTTACGCGAGGCTGGTTTCAGGGACTTATTAATGCTTCTCTGAGTGAGGGTATCTTCCCAGCCGCCTGGAAAGAGGCGGTCGTGAGGCCCCTCCTCAAAAAGCCTTCCCTGGACCTGGCTGTATTAGCCAATTAGTCTCCAACCTTTGGTTCGCGGCGAAGGTTGTTGAGAGTGTGGTGGCGCGACAGCTCCCTCGATACCTGGATGAAGCTGTCTATCTAGATCCATGCCAGTCGGGCTTCAGGGCGGGCTACAGCACAGAAACGGCATTGATCACATTGGTTGATGATCTCTAGAGGGCTCGGGACAGGGGATGCTCCTCAGTCCTGGTCCTCCTCGATCTCTCAGTGGCTTTTGATACCATCAACCATGGTATCATGCTGCGTCGGTTGGGGGGACTAGGAGTGGGAGGCACCATGATGCGGTGGTTCTCCTCCTTTCTCTCTGACCGTATGCAGTCTGTGTTGACGGGGGGACAGAGGTCGACCTCGACGCACCTTACTTGTGGGGTGCCACAAGGGTCAGTCCTCTCGCCCCTCCTGTTCAACATTTATGTGAAGCCACTGGGTGAGATCATCCGTGGTTTTGGGGTGAAGTGTCAGCTGTATGCAGATGACACACAGCTGTACATTTCTACCCCGGACCACCCCAATGATGCCCTTGACGTGATGTCCCGTTTCCTGGAGGCCATGCGGATCTGGATGGGGAGGAACAGGCTCAGACTCAACCCCTCCAAGACCGAGTGGCTGTGTTTTCCGGTGCCCCGATATAGCCAGCTGACACCAGGGCTGACTATTGGGGATAAGATCTTGCCCCCCTCAGAGAAAGTTCGCAACTTGGGCGTCCTCCTGGATATGCAGCTGTCTTTAGACAATCATATGACGGCCGTGGCCAGGGGGGCTTTCTATCAGGTTCGCCTGATTTCCCAGTTGCGTCCCTTTCTGGATCGGGACGCCTTACGCACAGTCACTCATGCCCTTGTCATGTCCCGTCTGGACTACTGTAATGCTCTCTACATGGGGCTCCCTTTGAGGAGCACCCGGAGGCTCCAACTGGTCCAGAATGCAGCCGTGCGAGTGGTTAGGGGAGCGACCTCTCTTGCGTGAGCTGCACTGGCTCCCAGTGGTCTTCCGGGTGCCTTTCAAGGTGCTAGTCACCATCTTCAAAGCACTCCATGGCTTAGGACTGGGATACCTACAGGACCGCCCTCCCGCCGTCCAATACGCTCTCACAGAGAGGGCCTCCTCAGGGTGCCATCGGCCAAACAATGTTGGCTGGCGACCCCCGGGGGGGAGAGCCTTCTCTGTGGAGGCTCCTGCCCTATGGAATGAACTACCCCCAGATATAAGAAGGATCCCCAATCTCCGCGCCTTCCGTCGGGCTCTGAAGACTCTATTGTTCCACCAAGCCGACCTGACCAAATAAATAAATTTTAAATGGGTTTTAAATTGGTTTTAAAGTGATTTTAGCTAAGGGTTTTAATAACGGCCAATTGCTTATATTAGTTTTAATGGTTTTTAATTTTTGTGTTGGGTTTGTTTTAAAATGGCTGTACGCTGCCCTGAGTCCTTTGGGAGAAGGGCGGTATAGAAATATAATCAAATCAAATCAAATCTAATAGATTTTAAGCTTATTTGTGTGGCAAAATCTGGACATATTTGCTTTTTGGCTTAGTTTAGACTGGAGGATGAAACATACGATGAACGATTGCAGCCGGATATGTCTCATCTAACAAAGAGAAGAACTAGGGATGACCTGATGGCAGTCTCCCAGTATTTGAGGGGCTGTCACAGAGAAGAGGGGGGTCAACCTATTCTCCAAACATCTGTGCGTAAGACAAGGAGTAATGGCTGAAACATATAAAAAGAGACCCAATCTTTGATCAATCTTTAGGATCTCCAGGATCTAATTCCAAGCAAAACCCGTAGGAAACAAGTCAAATAATGAGATAAGGACGGATGGGAAGGAAGACAAATACCAAGTGGGAGACATAGGAAGCATACCTAGAGTCAGACATAAAGATCTCAAATATATACAACTGCACAAAGCCTGGGGAACAAATAGGTTGAACTCAAATTATTAATACATGAAAGTAGATATGATATAGTTGGAATCGGATGAAATCCTGCGGGTTCTGGCAGGTCCTGGAGAACCGGTAGCGGAAATTGTGAGTAGTTCAGAGAATCAGCAAATACCACCTCTGGCTGGTCCTGAAGTGGGGTGGGAATGGAGATTTTGCTGTTTCCTTCCCCTGCCACGCCTACACAACCAGTAGTAAAAAAATTTTGGATATCACCACTGGTTGGAATCACAGAAACGTGGTGGGATGAAACCCAGTTCGGCCCGGTTCCCCCGAGCCGGTAGCGGTGACGATATGATGTCACTGAACCGGTTCTGGCCCCCTCCCACCCCCACCCCCGTGTTATTCTTACCTTTTATTTGGCTCCACCCCAACCTATTGCTGCCTCCTGAGTCCCAGCTGATGGGCTATAAGGAAAAACTGTTTAAACTCTTGCCGCGGGGCTTCAAAGGGCCGCCCTACAGCTGATCAGTGGTAAAAGGCAGTTTGGTGGTAGACTGGTGCCTACAAAAATAAATGGGTAGACCAGTGCCTGCAAAAACACATGAGTAGACTGGTGCCTGCAAAAATAAATGGGTAGACGGTAAGTAGTTAAAAGCCTGGTAGACCAGTACCTCTGCTAAATCCTAAAGAATTGTCACATGACCATCAAGCCACGCCCACAAAATAAGCCACGCCCACAGAACCAGTAGTAAAAAAATTTAGAACCCACCCCTGCCGCACGCACATTCCATTTTGGGGGTTTGGGCGCATTCCCCCACGTGCTTTGGGTACTCAGTGCGGAAAAGGTTACTCATCACTGGTGTAGGGTCTCCCCCTTGAGGAGAGGATTGGACTAGGAAACCTCCAAGGTCCCTTTCAAAGCCGTTTCGCAGTCACTGCTATTCTAAGCTTTGAATTACTATATTGGTGGTGGTGGTATGTGTCCACAGGCAAACATTTGGCCTTGGGGTTCGCAATAGATGCCGTCTTTCCCTGAAAATAAGGCCCAGTCTTTTTTCCCCCCTCCAAAAGAGGCATTACGCCGTATTTTTGGAGGATGTCTTCCACTCTCTCACGTCACAGCAGTGGCACTGACAGCCCCACCCAGCAGGAGCCCGTGTAGGCCAGGGGTGGATTCTACTTACCTTTACTACCAGTTCGCAGTGGGGCCACACGTGTGCTCTTCTGCGCATGCACAGAAGCGTTTTGGTGACGGCGGGGTCAGCGGACGGAGAGACAGAGAGAGAGAGAGAGGGATGGATGGAGAGAGAGACAGAGACAGAGACAGACAGACAGACAGACAGACAGAGACACAGAGACACACACACAGAGACAGACTTCCTTGGAAGTTGGATAAGAAGAACCTCGTTTGCTTCCTACGTATTCCGCTGAGAAAAAACATGGATGTTTTTGGCTTAGCATCTTGGCTGAATCTAGTTTCTGTAGTTTATAATGGCTTATGGCTAATGTGTTCCATGAACCAATGGACTCATATGAGTTGAGATGTTAAAAATCAGATCCAAATCAGGCTAGCACTGATGATGTTGCCTAGTTGAGTAATGAAATGTCCACAAGAAGATAACCAAGCCCAGAGAGCATCAAGGGCTCTGCAAATCATATCCTCTCTGATATGAACTAGGGTGACACATAATGCCATCACGCAGGATGAAAATGGTATCTGGAGATTGTTACTTGTATGTTACCGGTTGCAGATGACAAATGAGAATCAGAGGACTCTTAACAACTGGCTTGTGAAAAGTGATCTGAAACTGGATTTGAATGAAACCTCTATACAAGGGGTATCTAACCTTGGCAGTTTTAAGACCTGTAGACTTCAACCATAGCTGGTTGGGGAATTCTGGGAGTTGGAAGTCCACAAGTCTTAAAGTTGCTGCAGTTAGAATAGAATAATAGAGTTGGAATCGACCTTGGAGGTCTTCTAATCCAACTCCTGCTCCAGCAGGAACTCCTATACCATTTCAGACAAATGGTTGTCCAATCTCTTCTCAAAAACTTCCATTGTTGGAGAACCCACAACTTCTGGAGGCAAGTAGTTCCACTGATTGATTATTCTAACTGTTAGGAATTTTCTCCTTAGTTCTAAGCTGCTCCTCTCCTTGATTGTTTCCACCCATTGCTTCTTGTTCTACCCTCAGGCGCTTTGGAGAATAGCTTGACTGCCTCTTCTTTGTGGCAGTCCCTCAAATGTCACCCCTGGTCCTTCTTTTCCTTAAACTAGACATACCCAATTCCGGCAACCGTTCTTTGTATGTTCTTTAGATTAAATGCTATACCTTTCAATTTTTAGGTGCCTTTTACCAACTTAGATGCCTCAGACATTCTGAATTCCCTGAGAAGATGTGCCAGCATTGATAATACTGTGGCGTCCATTCAAATTCAGACACATCATAAAAGAGTCAGATTAGATAATAGGCAGCATTGCATCAAAGCATTTATTGATTTTTAGCGTATATATCTATTTTTTTCTGGTTCTCCAGAAGCTTCAGAAACTGCAGATTATTCCTGGTGGCCTTTTGGTCCTGCTTCTCAAATGGTCCACTTGGCTGGTTACGGAATGGGATAGGAAGCTAAGGTGGCGATGCCGCATGGATTTGATCCCTGTTCCATGAACATGTATCCGTTGGCTCCCCATGCGCGTGACCAACTGTGAAGAGAAGCATGCAAGACATTTTTTTCAAAACCATGTAGGGCAGGGGTCCCCAACCTCCGGGCCATGGACTGGTACTGACCTGCGTGGGCCGCACAAGCGGTGGGCGAGCACGTGAAGCTTCATTTGCACATGTGTGGGAACTAGATTGCACACATGAAACCATTCGCTCCACCAACCAGTGGTAGGATTCTACCGGTTCAGACCGGTTCAGGCGAACCGTTAGCTCCGACTTTCAGCCGTGAGTGAACCGGTTCGCTCTGACTTTGAAATGGGGCCGCCTGCCCGCCCCTGCGTTATAGTCACCTATATTTCCATTTCTGAAGCCCAGCTGATTGGCGCGGCAGAGTGGATTGCCGCGTTTAAGCTGTTTTCCTAGCCGTCAGCAATGCGGAAGGTGACTTTTCTGCAAACTGAGCACGCATGCTCAGAGAACCGGTTGTTAAACTGGTAGGATCCCACCCCTCTACCAACCCACCCCACCCCCGCCGCTGCTGCCGGTCCATGGAGCTAGAATTGTTGGGGAGTGTCAGTATAGGGTAGGGATGGCTAAACTTTTTTCTCTCGGGTGCTGAAAGCATGTGTGCCAGGGGTGGGTTCTAAATTTTTTTACTACGGTTCTTTGGGCGTGGCTTATTTTGTGGGCGTGGCTTGATGGTCATGTGACAATTCTTTAGGATTTAGCAGAGGTACTGGTCTACCAGGCTTTTAACTGCTTGCAGAGCTGTACCGGTCTACCCATTAATTCTTGGAGCGTCGTGGTCTACCACCACACTGCCTTTTAACACTGATCAGCTGTAGGGCGGCCCTTTGAAGCCCCGCGGCAAGAGTTTAAACAGTTTTTTTCCTTCCAGCCAATCAGCTGGGACTCAGGAGGCAGCGAATAGATTGGGGGCGGGGCCAAATAAAAGGTAAGAATAACGTGGGGGTGGGGCTGGAGGGCCCAGTTCCCGAACAAAGAGAACCGGTTCGGTGACGTCATATCGTCACCACTACCAGCTCGGCCGAACTGGGCTGAACCGGGAGGAACCCACTGATGTGCATGTGTGCGCGTTCATGTGTGTCCACACCCATAATGCAATGCCCCCTTGCACATCCTGCCCCTCTGCATATGCGACCTCCGCTGCGCTCCACTGCCCTATGCATGCGCATGCAATCTCCCATGCTCCCCCTGCCCCCTGCACATGCATGTGCGACCCCCCGCTCCTCACCCCCACACACATGTGCGACCGGGCCCTATTTTGGGTCTGCTAGGCCCAAAATGGGGGGGGCATGCCGCTCCCTCCCCGGTCCCTGCCCATGTGCACATGACTCCACCACCACCATGCATGCGCGCTTTACTCCCTGCCTCCATGCATGCGCACGCATCTCAGCAGAGACCCGAAAATCAACTGGCCGGCAGGAGGCGCGCGCATGCGCGGTGGAGCTGACCTAGGGCGACAGCGCACTTGCCCGCAGAGGTGACTCCGCATTCCACCTGTGGCACGCGTGCCATAGGTTCGCCATCACGGGTATAGGAAATCTTGCTGACTGGGAAATTCTGGGAGTTGTAGTCCAGGCATCTTCAAGTGGCCAAGACTGAGACAATCTGCAATAGTACAATAGTAGAAGTTCCCCTCTAGGGACCTTCCCTTCCCTCACCTGTTCTTCACAATCCAGTATCTGGTGCTGTTATAACCAACCACCAGCATAGTATGAGTCAATTGCAGGTCTCCACTCCAGGGATTTTTAAAGATACCTAGAGAAGGAAGATGAGAAAACATTGAAGAGATAATAGATAAACAGTTGGAAAGGACCTTGTAGGTCAGTGATGGCTAACCTTTTTGCCTTTGTGTGCCAAAAGAAGAAGGAGCATGGGGGGGGGGTGTCACACCCACGTGTGTCCACAGCCATAATTCAATACGCCTTGTCCCCACGCGCATGTGCGCACAACACTCCTGCGCTTTCCCTGCTTTTGACATGCGATGTGGGCCCAGTAGGCCCGTTTTTCGTCCTCCCCAGGCTCCAGAGGCTTTCTTGGAGCCTGGGGAGGGCAAAAACAGCCTTCCCCACCCCCTCTGGAGGCTCTCAGAGGCTGGAAATAGCCTGTCTGCCAACTTCCGGTGGGCCCGGAAGGCCCGAAAATCAGCTGACTGGCACATACCTGTGTGCCAGAGCTGAACTAGGGCAACGCTCGCATGCCCACCGATATGGCTCTGCGTGCCACCGGTGGCACACGTGACATAGGTTCGCCATCACGGTTGTAGGTCACCTAGTCCAACCCGCCCTTAAAGCAGAAAACCCTACACGATTTCTGACAGATTGAGCCCCGTCTCTTCTTGAAAGCCTCCACTGATGAAGCTCCCACAACTTCCGAAGGCAACTTCAGTTCCATGGGTTGATGGTTCTCACTGTCAGGAAATTCCACCTTATTTCCAGGGTGAATCTCTCATTGATCAGTTTCCATCCGTTATTCCTTGTCTGGCCTTCGGGTGGTTTGGAAAAGAGCTTGGCACCCCCCCTCCTCTCTGTGGCAGCCCCTCAAATATTGGAAGCTTTGATCAAGGGAAAGCTCCATGCTTCTTTGCCACATCATCTGGATTTCCAAAAAGGCAGCCAGGAATGTCTCTCCATCTTAGAATTTACTTTTTTTAATGGGATCACCGCTTAGGTAAAACAGGCACCCCTGAAGAGGCTTTTACGTAGAGCCCTTCAGATATTTTTCAATAAGAAGTTAGTAAATTTATAATTTAGGATGATTAATAAAATAGACGTAAAATGTATATATATGGATATATATAATCATAACACTATCAGCAATATTATTATTATTATTGGATTCCATTTGATTACAGATTAAATTGTGTAGAACGCCCAGAAGTGAAGATTATTTTGTATATATTATGAGAATAATGGCTATATGGTGTATAATATTATGTGTATTCAAAAAAGTTTTGATACGGACAGTACACTGTCATTGCAGAAAAGGAAACGTGATGTATAACGAAGGAAAATGTATAATAATAATAATAAAAAACATAACAAAAGAGATATTTTTCAAGGGAAGATATGTCTTCCTACCTGGAATACAGAGATGGGTTTCAGCAGGTTCTGACCAGTTCTGGAGAACCGGTAGCGGAAATTTTGAGTAGTTTGGAGAACCGGTAGTAAAAATTCTGGCCCCGCCCCCATCTATTCCCTGCCTCCCAAGTCCCAGTTGATCGGGAGGAAATGGGGATTTTGCAGTAACCTTCCCCTGCCACGCCCACCACTGCTGGAATAGTATTCACCCTCCTTCCTCAAGATGAGGGTTGCCCATCCAGGGCATTGAGTATCAGCCAATCAAGGTAATCAAAGGAACATTCAAAGTTGAAATGCAAGAGGACTCCCCCCCTCCTTCCTATTCCGCAGGAACCTTACCCGACTTGTAAAAGTGAAACTTAGAGCTCCTGGCATCCACTGAGACAGCAATCGGGCCAATCGTGGCCACTGCCTGCAAAAGGGCCTTTTCGTCTCCTGACGGGATGAGTCCCATGTTGGAACAAGCTGTGACAGAATTCTCAGCTTCATAACGACAATCATAATGATCCTGCAGAAAAATAAAGAGCGACCACAGTTAGTCCCAAAGAGAATATAGAATAACAGAGTTGGAAGGGATCTTGGGAGGTCATCTAGAATAGAATAGAATGGAATGGAATGGAATGGAATGGAATGGAATAGAATAGAATAGAATGGAATGGAATGGAATGGAATAGAATAGAATAGAATGGAATGGAATGGAATGGAATAGAATAGAATGGAATGGAATGGAATAGAATAGAATGGAATGGAATGGAATGGAATGGAATGGAATGGAATGGAATAGAATAGAATAGAATAGAATGGAATGGAATGGAATGGAATGGAATGGAATAGAATAGAATAGAATGGAATGGAATGGAATGGAATGGAATAGAATAGAATGGAATGGAATGGAATAGAATAGAATAGAATGGAATGGAATGGAATGGAATGGAATAGAATAGAATAGAATGGAATGGAATGGAATGGAATGGAATGGAATGGAATGGAATGGAATAGAATGGAATGGAATGGAATGGAATGGAATGGAATAGAATAGAATGGAATGGAATGGAATAGAATAGAATAGAATGGAATGGAATGGAATGGAATGGAATAGAATAGAATAGAATGGAATGGAATGGAATGGAATGGAATGGAATGGAATGGAATGGAATAGAATAGAATAGAATGGAATGGAATGGAATGGAATGGAATAGAATAGAATAGAATGGAATGGAATGGAATGGAATGGAATGGAATGGAATAGAATAGAATGGAATGGAATGGAATGGAATGGAATGGAATGGAATGGAATGGAATGGAATGGAATGGAATGGAATGGAATGGAATGAATAGGATGAATAGAATAGAATAGAGTAGAGTAGAGTAGAGTAGAGTAGAGTAGAGTAGAGTAGAGTAGAGTAGAGTAGAATAGAATAGAAAGTGGAATGGAAAGAAAAGGAAAGAAAAGGAAAGGAAAGGAAAGGAATGGAATGGAATGGAATGGAATGGAATGGAATGGAATGAATAGGATGAATAGAATAGAGTAGAGTAGAGTAGAGTAGAGTAGAGTAGAGTAGAGTAGAGTAGAGTAGAGTAGAGTAGAGTAGAATAGAATAGAAAGTGGAATGGAAAGAAAAGGAAAGAAAAGGAAAGGAAAGGAAAGGAATGGAATGGAATGGAATGGAATAGAATAGAATAGAATAGAATAGAATAGAATAGAATAGAACAGAATAGGCAATAGGCTGACTCTGTAAACTGCCTAGAACCGCTTAGAGAAGGCTGTAAAAGCACTATATAAGTGGTATATAAGTGCTATTCCTTCCTTCCTTCCTTCCTTCCTTCCTTCCTTCCTTCCTTCCTTCCTTCCTCCCTCCCTCCCTCCCTCCTCCCTCCCTCCCTCCCCCTCCCCCCTCCCTCTCTCTTGTTAGAAGGCAGTATTGCAGGCTAACTCTGCCCGCTGCCTGGAGTTCGATCCTGACCAACTCAAAGTCGACTCAGCCTTCCATCCTTCCGAGGTGGGTAAAATGAGGACCCAGATTGTTGGGGGCAAGAGGCTGACTCTGTAAACCGCTTAGAGAAGGCTGTAAAAGCACTATGAAGTGATATATAAGTCTAAGTGCTGTTGCTAGTGCCATTGCTAACTAGCCAAAGTAGCCAAAGCAAAGTAAACAAGCTATAGTTTGAAGCATTCACAGGAACACATTGAAAATTACCAGTCCATCATATGGGTAGCTTTCCTCTGAATTGATCCCGTGTAGCTGCTGTACAGTTACAAAAGCTTGGGTCGTAAATCCACCCTGGCACCCATTATTCCCCTCTTGCTTAGAACAGTCGATAAGATTTTGTTCGCTCAGCGAGATCAGCTTCCCCGTCTTCTTGAAATTCATGCCTTCCAGAGCTCCGGTGGCACTGAAGGCCCAGCAAGAGCCACACTCACCCTGTGGAAAAACAAAGCTGCAGTGATCCACGGAGCAACCCAATTAATGTTCCTTTCACAAATGACTTGTTCTCAGTTTTTGGTAGTAGGCAGCTGGGCAAGGTATGAGTTCCGATAGAAGAGCGGCTTAGGGTTGGAACGAGGGCTTCCTTGGTGCTCTCTGAACTCTTGCAGACCTTTCATTACTCAACTAGGTAACATCATCAGTGCTAGACCAGAGTTGGGTTTGGAAGAGGAGGAGGAGGAGGACTGTGAGGTTCTTGGTGCTCTCCGAGTTTGATGGGGTTTGAGCAGATGTCTCATTACCCAACTAAGTAAAATGATCAGTGCTAGAAGGGAGTGAGGGTTTGTGGAGTGGAGGAGCAGGTTACAGGGAGGAGGAGGAGGAGGAGGAGGAGGAGGAGGAGGAGGAGGAGGAGGAGGTGGTGGAAGACTGTGGGTTTTTGGTACTTTCTGAGCTTGGGTATTTTCTTGCAGATGTCTCATTACCCAACTAAGTAACATGATCAGTGCTAGAAAAGAGTGGGGGTTTGTGGATTGGAGGAGCAGATTACAGGGAGGAGGAGGAGGAGGAGGAAGACTGTGGGGTCCTTGGTACTTTCTGAGCTTGGATATTTTCTTACAGATATTTCTTTACCCAATTAAGTAACATGATCAGTGCTAGAAGGGAATGGGGTTTGTGGAGGAGGAAGAGGAGGAGGAGGAGGAGGAGGAGGAAGACTGTGGGGTCCTTGGTACTTTCTGAGCTTGGGTATTTTCTTGCAGATGTTTCATTAACCAACTAAGTAACATGATCAGTGCTAGAAGGGAGTGGGGGTTTGTGGAGTGGAGGAGCAGATTACAGGGAGGAGGAGGAGGAGGAGGAGGAGGAGGAGGAGGAGGAGGAGGAGGACTGTGGGGTCCTTGGTACTTTTTGAGCTTAGATATTTTATTGCAAATGTTTCATTACCCAACTAGGTAACATGATCAGTGCTAGAGGTGTGCTCTGTTGATATAAGAGTTCCGACAAGATTGAAGCTTCAGAGATGCAACTAAGAGAGGAAAGAATTTAGTTTCAAGTTTTCATGAAGCCATCAAATTCTGACTCGGGTCTAAATAGGCAAATCATAACTCCTTCCTTTTCCTTAGAAAGCATCTCTGCATCAGTCCTCAATTCATGGCTTGTCAGAACCATTCACCCACCTGATCTTTGACCTCAGTCACAAAACCTTTGGCTCGCCAGTCCACCCGCGAGGGAATCTGCAGGTTTTCTGAGGATTTGAAAGTGACTACGTTCTTTTGCGATGCAAGATCCAAGTCAGGAAGCAAGCAGTACAGCTTCTTGTTAATCTCTTCATTAGTCTGAGGATTGCAAAGAGTATGAATTTCAAACATCAGTTACCGGAGCCAGTTTGGTCTAGTGGTTAAGGCAGCAGGCTAGAAGCAAGAAAATTGTGAGTTCTAGTACCGCCCTAAGTATGAAAATCAGCTGTGTGACTTGGGGACAATCACTAGGAGACAGTGAATTCTAGTCCCACCTTAGGCAAGAAAAACTGGCTGGGTGACTTAGTGCCAATTACCAAGTGACGGTGAGTTCTAGTCCCATCTTAGGCGTGAAAGCTGGCTGGGCAGTGGTGAAATCCAAATTTTTTTACTACTGGTTCTGTGGGTATGGCTTGGTGGGTGTGGTGTGTCTTGGTGGGCGTGTCTTGGTGGGGTGGCAGGGGAAGGATACTGCAAAATACCCATTCCCACCCCACTCCAGAGGAAGGATACTGCAAAATACCCATTCCCTCCCCACTCCTCGAGGAAGGATATTGCAAAATCTCCATTTCTCACCCCACTCTGCGGCCAGCCAGAGGTGATATTTGCCGGTTCTCCAAACTGCTCAAAATTTCCGCTACCGGTTCTCCAGAACCTGTAAGAACCTGCTGGATTTCACCCCTGCGGCCGGGTGACTTTGGACCAATCACCAGGAGAATGTGAGTTCTAGTCCCGTTTTAGGCATGAAAGCTGGCTGGGTGACTTTGAGCCAGTCCCTCTCTCAGCCCAACCCACCTCACAGGATTGTTTTTGGCAAAATAGGAGGAGGAAGGTATCTTGGATACATTCACTATCCTGAATTATTTGTAAAACAAAAACAAAAACGAGGAACGCAGGATGTAAATTAGTTGAATGGATGAACTGAAAACTGCTCGGGGTCATTGACTGAGATGGGCAGCTATAGAAATTGAACAAACCACCATCTATGTCTAGTAAATAAATCAAACTAGCCCTGATCCAGACTTACCATATCACCAAAGTGATTCATCCCGAGCTTGTAGGAGTGTTTTCCCTGGTCAGCCTCCTGGTTATGGTCTTGGATCATCTGCAAATTTTCCTCCCACACGGCTCTTCGATAGGATTCTTCCTCTTCCTGGGAAGCCAAGATCAAGAAGATCCCTTAGTCGCATCTGCCTAAACAAGTGGCACCTAGAAGATCTAGAACTCACATTCTTCTCTTCCGTAAAAGGTTTCCCAAACTAGAATTCAATCGCCCAGGAAGGGACCAAAAACTCTTTCCATTTCTACTTGATACACCAGACATTATTCCTCACAAACCCTGTCTGAAGACAGATAGCAGAAAGTAACTTTATAAACATTGCCAGAAGAGAAGGACCAGGGAAGACATGATGGCAGTCTTCCAATATTTGAGGGGCTGCTACAGAGAGGAAGGGGTCTAAAGAAGCAAAACATTATTGGGTGAAAATACAAACATGGTTAGAGGGAATGTTGCAGCAACATATAGAGTTAAAGTCAGAGATGTTCTTACTGGGAATTTTACCAGAGAATTACAGTAAAGAAGATACATATTTGATTACTCATATAATAACAGCGGCTAGAATTGTATTTGCACGAAACTGGAAAGCAGATAAAATCCTGTTGGAAGGAGAAATTATAAAGAAAATTTTAGAATGTGCAGAAATGAATAGATTAACATTGAGAATAAAGAGGAGTCGATGTATTTCAAGACATGGGAAAAAAATTTATGATTGATTAGAAAGGCAATATGAATAAGGGTATAGAGATAAAATAGACAGAGTACAGATGGGAGAAAACAATTAAAAAAATAGATACCCAGATGATGCCAAGTAAAAGGAGAACGGGAAAAAAAGTGAAATATTATAAAAATGTACACAAATGATGAAATAAAAATAAATATGAATTGAATAAAAAATTGAAATGAGAATAAAGATAATTAGAAAATCGGGGCTGCTCGAATTTCACTTTAGATTGAACCGAAAAGGGAAACAACAAGAGAGAGGGGAAGGAGTAGAGAGAGAGGCAGGGAGAAGAGAGGAGAGGAGAAAGAAGAAAGGGAAAAGGAGAGGAAGAAAAGGGAGGGGAAAGAGGAGTAGAAGAGAAGGTTAGAAGGGGGGAGGAAGAGAGGAGTGGGGAAAGGGCAGGGGAAGTAGAAAAGAGAAGGAGGAGAAGAAAGAAGAAAGTAGGAAGAGAAAAAGGAAGGAAGAGAAAGGGAGGAGAAGAAGACAGGTTGGAGTAAAGGTAAAGGGTAAAAGAGCAGCCCCGAAAAAGTAAAAATGAAAAATGAAAGTTAAAAGATAAGATGAATGAAAAATGATAGATAAATGACAGTACATGTAAATGTGTTTATGAGAAATAAAACTAAAAACACTTTTAAAAAAAGAGAGAGAGAGGAAGGGGTCAATCTATTTTCCAAAGCACCTGAAGGCAGGATAAGAAATAATGGATGGAAACTGATCAAGGAGAGATTCAATCTAGAAATAAGGAGAAATTTCCTGACAGTGAGAACAATCCACCCATGGAACAGAAGTTGCCTTCAGAAGTTGTGGGAGCTTCATCCCTGGAAGCTTTCAAGAAGAGACTGGATTGCCATCTGTCAGAAATGGGGTAGGGTCTCCTGCTTGGGTCAGGGGTTGGGCTAGATCAGAGATCTCCAACCGTGGCATCTTTAAGACTTGTGGACTTCAACTCCCAAAATTCTGGGAGTTGAAGTCCATAAATCTTAAAGTTGCCAAGGTTGGAGACCCCTGGACTAAATGACCTAAATCCTACAAGGTCTCTTCCAACTCTCTTATTCTGTTCTGTTCTCTAAAATCAAGGTATGAAACACTTGAAGTGAATTTAGGAAAAAAAAAAATTCTGTGGGACACAGCCTCTTGAGAACATCAGTGGTGACAGCCAGCTCAGCTCCAAATGTGGCAGAGTTATTGAATTGAAATATAAAAATTTCACCTTTCATATTTCAAAGAAAATATTTACAAGATGATATACAGATGGCATCTTCCCAACCAATAGACTAGCTAAAATGTTCACTGGACAATCAGCAGAATGCTGGAAATGTGGGTGTGAGCGTGGCACTTACTACCATCAGTGGTGGACGTGCCCGAAAGGAGTAGAATTCTGGGGGAAAATAAAAAATGGCTGAATGAGATTCTAAATCAAACGATTGAATGGCGACCAGAGACATGCCTGCTCGGCTCCAAACCGGAAGGTATTAAAAGAGATGTATGGTATCTTGCATTACATATTGTCACAGCGGCGAGATTGGCGTATGCTCATCTTTGGAAAAATCAAAGTATCCCATCAGAGGAAGCTATTATAAAAAAGATTTTAGACTGTGCGGAAGCAGATAAATTGACCAAAAAATTACAAGATAGAGATCAAACACAAGTATGTTTATCTTGGGAAAAATTCTATAGGTGGCTAGAGAAAAGGAAAATATAACCCAAATTAGAAGAGGAACTATATGTACTGAGAAACTTATATTATACAAGTAAAGTGAGGTTGGATAGACCTAATTGTTTTATAAAGATATGTAAGATGTTCTTTCTTCTCCGGATTATAATATAGATATACAGTACCAAGTATTAGGTTATTAAGGTACTGTTTATAGGTATGCTAGCTTTGTTGGTTTTTGTTGTGTTGTTTTGTATGTTTATTATTATTATTATTATTATTATTATTATTATTATTAATTTGATTTATATGCCGCCCTTCTCCGGAGACTCAGGGCGGCTTACAATGCATTAAGCAATAGCCTTCATACTTTTGTATATTTATACAAAGTCAGCTTATTGCCCCCACAATCTGGGTCCTCAATTTACCTACCTTAGAAAGGATGGAAGGCTGAGTCAACCTTGAGCCTTGGAGAGATTCGAACCAGCAGTAATTGCAGGCAGCTGTGTTAATAACAGGGTGCTCTAGACCACTGTGCTATCAAGGCTCTTCCAGTCTCTCCTTTATTTATATAATATGTCGTTCTCTTTTTGTTTTTAATGGTAAAATGTAAATAAAGATTAAAAAGAAAAGGAAATATAAAAATTTCACCTTTGGTATTAGGTATAGCCAATCTAGAGAAAACAAGGACTAGGGGTGACATGATAGCAGTATTCCAGTATTTGAGGGGCTGCCCCAAAGATGAGGAGGGGGGGGGGCTGTGTCCACTTATTTTCAAAAGCACCAGAAGGCAGGGCAAGAAGCAATGGATGGAAGCTAACCAAGGAGAGAAGCAACCTGGAATTGAGAAACTTCCTGATAGCGAGGACAATTAAGCAGTGGAACTACCTGCCTCCAGATGTTGTGAGTGCTTCATCACTGGAGGCTTTAAAGAAGAGATTGGACAACCATTTGCCTGAAATAGTATAGGGTTTCCTGCCTGAGAAGGGGGTTGGACTAGAAGACCTCCAGGGTCCCTTGCAAATCTGTTATTCTGTTCTCTTATTCTGATTGAATAAGGACAGAAAGGACAGTCACCTGTCTGACATGGTATACTATAGGGTCTCCTGCTTGAGGAGAAGGCTGGACTAGAAGACCCCAAGGTCCCTTCCAGCTCTATTCGGATTGATTGATTGGACTTCTGGTGGAGCAAACTCACCAATTCGTATTCTTTACTGTGAGTGGCCTTCCAGTCTCTCCATGTCCCCTCCAGGGTCGGATCCAGCGCTGTGGACAAGGTCCTCAGGGAGAACAGCCAGGCCAGGGCCACCACCGAGATGGACAACATTGTCTTTCTCTAGGAGAAGGAAGAGAAGCAGAGAACAGCATTAATGGGGCATGAATTCTTAAGATTTGCAAGCCAGCAAGAACTGGTGGGCTACAGCTTCCCCATCCCTGACCTTGGATGATCAAACAATTCTATATAAATTACTGCCAATAAATAAATCAATAAATACACGGACCCAATAAGTACCTCGGAAATATTTGGAGAGTCTAACCTAATGGCAACTGGAAAAATAAAAGTGTGGCTTTGTAAGAGCTACACAGAGTGGACTTTAGCAAGAAAACGGAGACCTCACCTCAAGCGGAAGGCGAAGAGGCAGTTGTGAAAACCAAACTGTAGCTGCCCCCTTTTTATATAAAGGCAGACAGTATGAAATTGCCACTCCCCACTGCCTTTAACGGACACTGGCAAGGGAATGCCCACCGTATCTCTAGATATCTTGGAAACGGATGTTTTTTTGCTGCAATCAGATAATGCTCTTTTAAATCTCTCTCTTTGGGGGTGTCTAATGTTGGGGAAAGTGACCAGAGCCCACTCCCCACACCCCTATTCAGACTGCTGATCTGATTTGTATCTCCTGTTTCTGGAAAATTCCGTGGCTTTCAGTGGTTGCGACACTTTTAAGGAGATAAATTTCATATTTGATTTCCATCTAGTTTTTCTGTCTATCTTGGTCCTTCCGAGAAGCATATCCTGCTCCACCCTGCTCCTTCCACCCACAAGCAGGGGGTTCAAAATCAACCACAGTTGTTATTAACTGTGGGCAGAAAATGTCAATTGTGGGTCCACCTTTATTTGAGCAACGGAGGGTTGGGTTCTTCAACCGTGAACCATTTTATAACAAATGATGTCGATTGAGCTTTTCCGGACCTATGTTCTACGGGTTTTGCCTAGCACTGTGATGGTGAACCTATGGCAGGGGTGAAATGCTCCCAGTTCGGACCAGATCGCCCGATCCAGTAGCGATGGAGACAGGTGGTTCAGAGAACTGGTAGCAAAAATCCCTGACCGCCCCCCCCCGCCATGCCCAGCTGAGCCGCACAATCATCAGAGGCTTTTTTTTTCTTTTAAAAGCCTCTGACGATCCAAGCTGAGTTGCCTGATCACCAGAGGCTTTTTTTAAAAAGTCTCTGCCAATCAGGCAACACAGCTGGGTAGATCAGGGCAGGGTGACGAGGAACAGTCTTGAGAATGTTATCTGGGAGGAGTTTGATGCTGTGACTCCCGATGATGTGGACAGGATTTTGGGGAGACTTAGTGCGGCCACATGTTTACTGGACCCGTGTCCCTCCTGGTTGGTACTGGCTTCCCGGGAGGTTACACGAGGCTGGCTCCAGGGCGTCATTAATGCTTCGTTGAGTGAGGGTCACTTCCCCGCTGCCCTGAAATAGGCAGTGGTGAGGCCTCTCCTCAAGAAGCTGTCCCTGGATCCGGCAATATTGGCTAACTATCGTCCTGTCTCCAACCTTCGCTTCATTGCGAAGGTTGTTGAGAGTGTGGTCGCACAACAGTTTCCACAATTCATGGAGGAAACATCCTATCTAGATCCGTTCCAGTCGGGTTTCAGGTCTGGGCACAGCACGGAAACGCATTGGTCGCGTTGGTGGATGATCTCTGGAGGGCTCGGGACAGGGGTTATTCCTCTGTTCTGGTCCTATTAGATCTCTCAGCGGCTTTTGATACCATCGACCATGGTATCATGCTGCACCGGCTGGAAGAGTTGGGGGTGGGAGGTACTGTGTTGCGATAGTTCTCCTCCTTTCTCTCCGACCGGTCGCAGTTTGTGTTGGCAGGGGGGCAGAGGTCGACCTCGAGGCCTCTTATCTGTGGAGTGCCGCAGGGATCGGTCCTCTCGCCCCTTCTGTTCAACATTTATGTGAAGCCACTGGGTGAGATCATCCGTGGCTTTGGGGTGAGATACCATCAGTACGCTGATGACATCCAGCTGTACATCTCCACCCCAGGCCACCCCAACGATGCCCTTGAAGTGATGTCCCAGTGCCTGGAGGCTGTGCGGATCTGGATGGGGAGGAACAGGCTCAGGCTCAACCCTTCCAAGACTGAGTGGCTGTGGCTCCCGGCATCCCGATATAGTCAGTTGACTCCATCACTGACTATTGGGGGCGAGTCTTTGGCCCCCACTGAAAGGGCTCGCAATCTGGGAGTCCTCCTGGATAGGCAGCTGTCTTTGGAGGAACATCTGACGGCTGTTACCAGGGGGACCTTTTATCAGGTTCGCCTGATTCGCCAGTTGCGGCCCTTTCTCGATCGGGATTCCTTGTGCACAGTCACTCACGCCCTCGTCACCTCTCGCCTTGACTACTGCAATGCTCTCTACATGGGGCTCCCCTTGAAGAGCACCCGGAGGCTCCAGCTGGTCCAGAACGCAGCAGCGCGGGTAGTGATGGGAGCAATATGGCACTCCCATGTAACACCGCTCCTGCGCGAGCTGCACTGGCTCCCGGTGGTCTTCCGGGTGCACTTCAAGGTGTTGGTTACCACTTTTAAAGTGGTCCATGGCATAGGGCCTAGCTATCTGCGAGACCGCCTGCTGCTACCAACGACCTCCCATCGTCCCGTGCGCTCCCACAGAGAGGGCCTCCTCGGGGTGCCATCAGCCAAACAATGTAGGCTGGTGGCCCCCAGGGGGAGGGCCGTCTCTGTGGGGGCTCCCACCCTCTGGAATCAGCTGCCCCCGGAGATAAGGAGAATCCATGACCTCAATGCTTTCCGTCGTTCCCTGAAAACCCATCTTTTCCAGCAAGCCGGGTTGGCTTAAGAAGAAATTTTTAAATTCTTTTAATTAGTCTGTGATTTTTTAACTTTCGGGCCAAAATTTATATATATATTTAAATGTTTTAATATTTGTATTCTATGTTTTTTATCTTGGCTGTATACCGCCCTGAGTCCTCAGGGAGAAGGGCGGTATATAAATTGGAAATTAAATTAAATTAAATTAAATTAAATCAGAGGCATTTAAAAGAAAAAAAAGCCTCTGCTGATCAGGCAACTCAGCTGGGATCGTCAGAGGCTTTTGAAAGCATTTTTTTTACAACCTCTTTGCCGAAGAGGTTGTAGAAAAAATGGTTTTAAAAGTTTTTTTTTAAAAATTGGCCACGTCCACCCAGTCACATTACTCACCCCCCACTGACGTATGGCACATTACCCCACCTACCACTGACCTATGGCAGACGTGTCAGAAGTGGCACACAGAGCCGTCTCTGTGGGCATGTGCACCGTTGCCATGCCAAGTTGCTTTCTGCCCAGCAGCAGACTTCATGTATAGATCACACCTCCCTCCCCCCCCCATCCCATTTGCAAAAAAAGCAAAAACAGATCGTGGAACATCATTGCAAGAGGCCTGGACAGAGTCATTTGGCGTGACTGAACGCAGTGGGGAAGCATTATGTGTAATGAAAGTGTTCCATGTCGTACGTCAAGTTGTCAGACGGCACTTTTGACAGCAACCACAAAAGTGTTGGTGAACTTGGTGCAACTGAAAGAAAAGAGTTTATTAAAGGGAAATTGAGGGGAATATCATTCCCAGTCCCCCGATCTTTTGAGAACAAATCATCCGACAGCTGCTAGTGTTTAAATTTCACTGTGCATAGCAAAACATATGCTTATTTGCAAATTGCATAGCAAAGGTTGTAAACTACAGAATGTCACTTGTTAAACAGAGGCACAGAATCAAAATCACGTGAAGTACATCTGAAAAGTGTTGGAAATGTCATCAGACACCGGGCTCATATTACCATATGTGGTGGAAATGTGTAGAAACTAAAAGATACTGGACTAAAATCCACACATGGTTGGAAAAAATGATAAAAAAACATATAGATTTTAAACCAGAGATTTTTTTATTAGGAATTTTGCCAGAAACATATAATAGAGAATTGAGATATTTGATTGTGAATTTTATTTATTTATTTATTTTATTTTATTTCTATACCACCCTTCTCCTGCGGGACTCAGGGCGGTGTACAGCCAGGATAAAACATAGCATATAAAATTTAAAAACATTTAAAAAAACAATTAAATAATTTTGGCCCGAATTTAAAACAACCCAATTAAAACCGAATTCGATTAAAAAACTGAGAGCATGGGATCAAGCCAGCCCAGCTAGATGGAACAAGTGTGTCTTCAGGGCCCGACGAAAAGTCCAGAGGTCTGATACGTGCGTATCTCAGGGGGCAGGTCATTCTAGAGGGCAGGTGCTGCCACAGAGAAGGCTCTGTCTGGCCGACGGCACCCTGAGGAGGCCCTCTCTGTGCGAGCGAACCGGTCGGTGGGAGGCTATTGGCGGCAGAAGGCGGTCTCGCAAATACCCCGGCCCTAAGCCACGGAGCGCTTTAAAGGTGGTCACCAACATCTTGAAGTGCACCCGGAAGACCACAGGAAGCCAGTGCAGCTCGCGTAGGAGAGGTGTTATATGTGAGCGCCCCGTCGCTCCCATAATCCCCCGCGCGGCTGCATTCTGGACCAACTGCAGCCTCCGGGTGCACCCCAACGGGAGCCCCATGTAGAGAGCATTGCAGTAGTCCAGGCGGGAAGTGATGAGTGCTTGAGTGACTGTGCGTAGGGAGTCCCGATCCAGAAAGGGACACAACTGGCGTATCAGGCGAACCTGATAAAAAGCCCCCCTGGCCACGGCCATCATATGCTCTTCTAAAGACAGCCATGCATCCAGGAGGACGCCTAAGTTGCGAGCCCTCTCTGTGGGGGCCAGTGATTCGCCCCCAATAGCCAGGGATGGCACCAGCTGGCTATATCGGGACGCCAGAAGCCACAGCCACTTGGTCTTGGAAGGGTTGAGTTGGAGCCTGTTTCTCCCCATCCAGGCCCGCACGGTCTCCAGGCACTGGGACATCACTTCAAGGGCATCGTTGGGGTGGCCCGGGGTGGAGATGTACAGCTGAGTGTCGTCAGCGTACTGATGGAACTCCACCCCAGTTGGAGACTGGATGATAATTAACCAACACTGCTGGGTCCAGGGAAGGCTTCTTGAGGAGAGGCCTCACCACCGCCTCTTTCAAGGTGGCAGGGAAGTCACCCTCACCCAACGAAGCATTTATAATCCCCTGGAGCCAGCCTCGCGTCACTTCCCGGGAAGCCAGCAGTAAGCAGGAGGGGCACGGGTCCAATAAACATGTGGTCGCATTCAGTCCACCCAGAATCCTGTCCAAGTCATCAGGAGTCACAGGATCAAATCCATCCCAGATAACATTCTCAAGACCTGCCTCAGTCATCCCTCCTGAAACTACCCAGTCAGAGTCCAGATCTTCCTGAATCTGAGTGATTTT